GCGTAACAACGAGCGAAAATCAAAAGAAAGCTTCGCGTCGCCGATAGCGTATAAATAATCCGCGATCGCCAAAACATAATGGAAATGTTGCCGACTGCCGAGCGAAAACAAAGAAGTAGATATAGCGGCCAAGGAAGAGAGGGGAGGGGGCAACAACGACAAAAAAATCGAATCTCCTCTTTATAAATAGCCCAGAGCAGGCGTGCGATGCGCTTCCGCCGACAGTTCGCGCGATCGCCTTGTTGTAAAAAAGGAAATTCTATTATGACGCCGTCAATGGGCTTTTAATTTGCTGGCGCGCGAGCATCCAACGCTTGTTTTTATATTTAATAGTGCCGCAAGCTTGCAGAGCTGAACGTGTTTGCCCGTTAAAATTGCAAGTTCGCAGACTAAAAGTATATTACGTGTCAATTAGTCTTGTTGCAGTTAATAAAGCTTTCGCGTTATTCGATTACAAGGCACATCGCCTGGATAATTTAATTGTCTTTATTGTGTGCGATTGCGAAGCTACGGAGTTCATCGTTCACGCCGACTAATCAGAAAATTCTACAATGTCATTTGTTTTATTACGCGTTTCCTTTTTCTATGATATTGTCCATTGTTATATCAGAATCCGTTTTCTTCATCTCAAACGCTTCAAGCAATTATTTTTATCATAGTTTTACTTGAGTTTACTCGGATTGCATAAGGCAATTACAAAGTTTCTTTACTTAGTGATTAAGGATCAAAGTAGAAATAAAATAGGGTGAACGTGAAATCGAATATAAGGAAATTCAGAAAAAAGTGCTTGCATTCCACGCTGAAATAATTTCTTTTTAACGTCCATAAACAATACATTCCATTGAACTGAGAAAAGCTGCTAGTTTGAATGCAGCGGCAAATCAAGCCGAGAAGAGAAAAAAATGCCAACTCATCTATTTAACCCGCGTCACGGTTGAAATCCCCGAAGGTTTTTTTTCCGTAACCGCAATGCAAACAAAAGCATTGGATCGTAACAGGAGCCTTTAATTGACCTCTCGAGATCGTTTGCAATTAGTTTTTGTTGAATCGCGTAGAAACCGGATGCACTTGATCTTTGCGTTTCGCGCGAAACAGCGTAAATTCCAAGCTCGGTTTCCGTGCGGAATATGTGCAGCGCGTTCGCGTTTGAAAGCTCTGCATTACATCGGTGAATAAACACGAGAAAGCTGCAGTACCTTGGCCTAGTCGGTTGTAAAAGATAGTGTCGCGCGAGTAGCCGAGCCGGAGAAAAGCGGAGCCTCTCGAAAATTAATGAGCTTTTCTTCTTTCTCAAACACCGTCTCGCCTTTTCTTCCGCTTCTCGCATGTGCGCGCGTTGCTGACAGTTTTACATGTCGTTCGAGACATTTTCTTTTTTTTTTCTATTCCACGGGGACAATTGTCGTTGTGGGTACACGTACGTACGTGGTAACTAGGTTGAGACTTTTGTGAGGAAACGTTTGTGCTTACGATAGTTATCCGGTTGACAAAAGAACTTAACGCTTTGTTAACATGCAGTTTTTTTCCGCATGCTCAGTGATTTCTCGTTCAATGAACGAATTGAAAGCCGCGGCAATGTAAATGTGTTACTTTTTTCGCTCAATGAATTTCATTCAACGAAAAGAGAATGAAATGCGCATAAAGCATACCAACTAAATTCCTTCTGCTTCGGTAAAATCTACGTTCACATTTATATGCTTCTGTTTGCGCAATCATTTTATTGAAGCACGTCATATCAGATTTTCAAAATCAGCCGCAGCTAGCACATCAAGTATTTATACAAAAGCTCTGTAAAACATCGATCTGACACAGAGAGGAAACGTGAAAAACCGATAATCCTGGTAATGAAGCTTGCTACCACGTTGTAAGCCTAATGAAAGACAAGTCATTCGCAGAGAGATTCCCATAAAGGGAAAGGAATAAAAAATTGTTCAGCTCTCATCCACCCGAAAAAAGCTCGAGCGCGATTTTTGCATTCGAATGGGAGGTGGTGATATGAATCGTTGTGGCAGCAGCAGCACACGCAGGGCTGCATTCAGAGCGATAAAAAGCTCGCGCGGTCTACTACTAGCTTGGCTGAGCTCATATATACGCTGGTCTATTCAGAGGCTGTGTGCAGTGGCAGAGCGGACACAGTGTGCGGCGTTGTTACGGGGAGTAGAGGTGTCACTGGCTTTTAGGGCTGTTTGATGCGGGCTATTTCGCCAGAAATGCACGCGCGTGTGGCTTTGAGAGATTACTCCCGTGGATTCTCCTCTTCTCTTTTTTTTTGTTTTTTTTTTTTTTTTTTTTCAAGCACTGTTGAATGCTGATTATGCGAGCTGATTGCTCGCGCAGGCACCTAGCAGCATTTCTATATATTAACCGGCAGATTCCAATCGCGCGCGCTGAATATCCGCGAGGCTTTTCTGTGTTTCTTTTATATTGAATGGCTGAATTCATTTGAACGCCGTATACGTTCGATTACAAATGCTCGCCAGCGCTGATGATTGGGTTTTTGCCAATTGAAAAACCAACAAAATTGCACGCTTGTGCAAAGGCTGCGTGAAATGAGAACCGGAAACATGCGATTTACACGTAATATTCACTGCCGCATATTCATTTAGCGCGCGAGAGTTTGTTCGATGGAACGTTTCGTTTCGCGATGTATCACTTTTTTCAATTCAAAAATACTTTGACCCCGGGAAATTATTTAATGTACGTCTTTATGCGAAATGGAAGATTCTGGGAAGTTGTGCAATATTGTCATTTGGTTGAGCGATCAGTTTATCAAACGAGCCTGAATTGTTCTGTAAAAATGGTATAAATATGAAACAAGGCAGCTGTAATAACTGTAAATTCATCAAGCTGCTATACGGCAAAGAGTATACGACCGAAAATAATCCGCGCTAATTACCCCCGGCTGCAATAAAAACCGAGCGCAAATCCCCCTCGAGGCCATTGTCTTCTCGCTTACTTCCAAATCCGTCCTAAATAAACGGTCCGGCGCGAGCGTGAGGTCGATCGGTGTGTACGTGGATCCGCTCGTAGCAGCCTATGAAAAGGACTGAAAACGGCGACGGCAGCACGTGAAAACCATTCGTTACTTGTATTCTCAAATGAGTCGTATCGAGTGGATGGAAAACGGCTGGCCGACAAAAGCGCCTCCTCCTTTTATTTTCTATGACGCGTGACGAGGTCGAATCCGTTCCTTTCGCGCGCGCGCGCACGTGGAAACGGAGTGATCGGGAATGCGAGCGGCGCCACGAAAATACATTTCGGCCAATTAAATGTCGCACGGCGTCGCGTCGCGCGCATATACTGTCAAAACTGTTGCCGGACGTAGCGATGCGTGTGAGAGGACTCATTAATAAGCCGGCCGATCGCCCAATTAGACGGACAGGTTCGCGATGAGGCGCATTTCTCTCTGCTACATGTACGTGGATGACTTTTGTGTCCGCTTATTGCGCGTTACTCGCTCGAAACGACGATCAAGCAGCTGCTGCGTCGTTTCGGCGATTTCTCTTTTTTCTCAGGGCCTCGCCCACTGTGGGATGCTCTCGGGGCGTGATGTTCACTTTTCTTTTTGATGTGGCTTTTCGATTTTCGTGAGGCGGAATCGTACCATGATTTACTCTCCAACTTTATCGTATTGGGCTGCGATCAGTCGGCGATAGCTTGTGTATATCAATTTCATGCAAATCACGGACGTGATGTAACGGAAATAGCTACAGAGCGCGTTGCATTTACTTTCCAAGATTATTCAAAGCATTTAGTGCGGCGTAAAGTGCGTAGAGTTTATGGAACCCAATAGTGTTTTCCTATTAAATTGCAATTGATTACGGAATCACTCCAATTACCGAGATTCATTAGATTCGAACGATGGAAGTGCAATGAATGTCGATCGCGGTGAAACGAGAAGGCAACCTTGTCTCGATAGCGACATTAAAATCAATTGCAAATCGACGACTATTCGGGCGAATGAATTTAGCCGCTAAAGACATTCCATTGGCGCGCAAAACGCTAGGCAGCGAACTCGAGCGATACGGTGTGCGTGAACGCTGCTGGCTCCGATTCTCGGCCCGACAATTACTCTGGCGCGTGCGCGCGCGCTGAATCAGCGAAATTAGCGGTGCGAGGCACACTCGCGCGCCGCGCGATAACGCCACCGCGAGCGTACAGGTGCGCGCGCGTGGATCTGCTCGTTACGCGAAATCATGCCGGGAGCGAGATCAAAGACGAAAGCGCGCTGTTTGCGAGCGGTAAAGTCAGTCAAGTGCTTTTCAATTGGGATAATCGTTGGTGAGCTTCCCCTCTCGCGGCGGAGAGTCCATTGAGTTTCGCGCGCGTAGCCACTCTCTCGAACGGCCGTGCCGCGGCGCGGCGCTTACGAAAATTAGACCCTCCGGGCATTCATCCGCGCTCATTAGGCCTCAGTGAGGAACTGCCCTCACTCGAGCTTTTCGGACTCCCATGCTCGCGTTTATTCTTTTCTTTATCGTTTCGAGCACCCGGAGTTTATTGGATTTCATAATTTTTTTACTTCTTTCAACGTCGATAAGTCGCGTCTCAATGGCTATTTCATTTGGAGCAGCTAAGTTTTCAATGGAACCTTCGATAATGGACTTTGCGTAGTCTTTTCAAGTCTAATTTTTTTTATCCACATTCTCGCTATTCGAAAGCAGCTTAATTTTTGAACTGAAACTTACTTAAGGGATCGTTGAGCATTGTGCGATGGTAGTCTAGAAAAATTTCGAGCACGCGGTATTCAAATAATTACAGCATTGTTGTTATTTTTGATAAGTCAAGTCTGGATAGAAACGAGTTGAAATTCTTTTCACATAGAAAAATGTCGCAAAGCAATTGAAAATTGAGGGAAAGTAAGGGGCGGAATTGAGAATCGATGAGCGAGCATTGAGCGACAAAAGAATGTAGCGCGGATAGGAGCGGCTCACTGCACGTAAATCCGATAAACTGCTATACGGATTGCCTACGAGCCAAGACTTGATTTAGCAACTCACCCCGTTCGTTGGCCAAAGGCGAAATCCCTTGGACAGCGGCGCACTCGTTGGGTCCTTAAGAGGAAGAAGCAGCCACGGCAACCCTCCTCCAACACTCCATCGTCCTCGGTCAATTTACAGCTGTGGCTCTATCTATTTTTGCGGTGCCGTCGAGAAACCGAAACCGATCACGCATCACTTGAAAAAGTCCTCATAGCCGTCGGATGGGATGTCAGACCGCACGTGCGGGCGGCAAATCGCGTAGCGAGAAACGCGTTTCTCCGCAGAGCGACAAATCACGTGTCGCGATCGCGCGAGCGAGAACAGAGCGGCAGCACTGCTGTAGCTGCGCATGTGGCGCGTCGCGCACGACTGAGGCAGACAAGCAGCGAACAGCAGCCACCATCCTCCCGGAACGTTGCGCCCCCACCACCACCCTTGCATATCTCTTGCGTGCGCACCACGACTTTCAGTGATGCTGCCGCCTCTTCTCCTTTTCTCCCTCGTACATTGTCGTGTTTGCTTTCTTTCCCGGATGCTTCGAGTGCTTTGCCTTCTTCCTTGCTCGCGGCAAGCGCTGCTTATGTTTACCTCGCGCCCGACTTTCCTCCTTCCTTTTTCTGCTTCGACTCGCGGTTGCAAGGGTTTATTTGGATGCTTTTTGGGGTTTCGCTTGAGCTGAGCCTCGCCAACCTCGTTTGATTCTGCGTACGCGTGGACGGAATTTCAAGATATTAGCGGACGAATTTAAGGAGTTTCCGTTTCCCTTCTTCCCGACGTATTTTTTCCGCCCTGCGAGCGGAACGCATTTTATGGTAAAGGGAACAAATATTCTTTGAAAGGGATGATGCCTAACGAGCAAAATTCATATAACTATATAAGATGCTAACTTGGTTGTTGCAATAGTTGTTGAGGTACATCATAGACGACTTTTTGGTTTAAATGTTTTAAGCTCATTTGCTTCAATTAGTACTGACGCAAAGTTTACAAAATAGTTTTCCTAGGAGGAAAGGTAGCTTTGTATATTCATATTTTGCCTTTACCAACATGGAGCAAGTAAACAAGAAAGAAAAAAGAAGAACGGATTGCCGTTTAGTATTCAAACAAAACCTTCTTTTTCTTTCATAAGTGTTATCATACCACTCAGTCCTAAACAAATCTATACAAATGATGCTCCTCCTCTTTTTATGTTAATCACCTTACCTAACAATAATGAACAAAAGTTTTTCAATACCATAATATTGCCCTTCTCCGATTCCAATCCAAAGTTAGCATCTCTTGCAGAGTGTTCTTTTTCCGAATCCTCAGCCAATGTAATGCTATTGGCTTTCCAGTTGTATTTGTCTTTTCCTTTCCTCGATGTTTTACTTTCTTTGAAGTTCTCCTTTTTTTCCTCCTGGTCTTGTTTACCTGGGCCGCCGCTCCTTCGTCGTCGATCTTTTATATTTCATGTTCCATTACCGATCTTAAATTATCGGCATTAAACTTTAATTGACGGTTAGTTGGAGGCAACTCGATTTCCTTGGCAAACGTTTATCGAGAGAAAGAGAGCGAATAGGAGAAAGAGAGTTTCCAGCTAATTAAAAAATTACTTTATCTCTCTAGATCAGTTAAATAAAATATCGATCGATCAATCGATTATTGATTTTCCATTTTGACGCGGATAAAATATAAATCGAGTCACGAGTGTGCGCAGCTCTTCAGGTATGACTCAACTAACTTTATGTTCTAATTTCTTCATCAACAAACTTTCCTTCTCAGATCATAAAAGAAACTGCAATTTTGGCGATAAACTATACGAGCAGCTTAAAGCGAAGTATGAGACATTTTCCAATAACTCTTTCTCGGCAAGACTCGCTATGTGTCCATATGTTCAAGACGCCAACTTTACAAGAACTTAAGGCTCTCATTTTTCTCTCACTCTCGAAAACTAAAAAACTTTGTCCTCTTTTCTTGCTTGCGCGTATAATCGAGAAAAAAAAACTACGACAAAAAGAGGAAGAAGAAAAAAAAGAGAAGAATCTCTGGTGTATTTTCCCAGCCCGCGTCGTCGCTAGAGTGAGGGCCAGGTGCGTGGGGACAGGTAATTGCTTGCTGCCGGAAAGGGAGGACCAAAGGAAAGATAGAGAAAGAGAGACTGCTGCTGTTGGCCATTGTGCCTTATTGACTGCGACCGAATGAATTTCACGAACGAGTCGCCTGGAAAATCCTCGATCCCTGTATACGTACTTCTCGCATTCTATGATCGAGCACACAGCGCATTGTGAGGTCTCTTGAGATTCGAGCGTCATTGTTCGTCTTTTTTTTTCTTCTTCGAAAATTCCTCTTCCGAGGAATATGAGGGATGTGAGAAGTACACGGCGACCGCTAGTTTTGCTGTTAAAAAATAAGATGCGCACGTGCCTCCTGCGGGGCTAGTTGGGACGTGCAACGGATAGCAGATAATAAGTCTCGAGGGCCAAGCTACAGCTATAATACTGCTGCAACTTGCCACCGATTAGCCGGCGTGAGTCCCGAGCACGATGTGGTTTCCTCGGTTAATCGACGCTGCTCTGTGTCTTCTCTGCGTCGCTACCAAAGTCGAGTTAACTTGTACTGTTTTCGCCGGAAGATATATATTGCAAGGGTTTCTTCGTTAACTGTTGGTCCCCGATTGCACAAAGGAAATGTGCCTCGCCCTTCTATCTTCAGGAAGTTATGATTTTGTCACTGAGAAACTTCTGATCTGATGGATTTCACTTTCATGGCGCATCCGTCGGGATCTCAGTTCTTGTAAATATGCATGCTTTCAAATATTTAGCCATAGCGAAGCAGCAAAAGTAGCAGAAAGTTTATTTCAATATATCTAGAATGATATATATAGAAATGGAATGGAAGATTCGTATAATAACGTGTATCTTTGATCAACATAAATGTTTAAAATGCATTAATTGTTCCCCGTTCGCTGGTTACATTTTATGTTGAATTATACGGAATATTCGCTATTGCTCAACGATGACAGATACATGCCAAATATACACTTGTATAAATTAAGGCAGGCAAGCGAAAAGTTTAAAATAAATTGATCAATACTGCGCTGTAAATAAGCGATGTGTATAATTAAGTGCGGTCACAGAAGCAAACCAAAGTAAAGCAAGCGTTTTTCCGATAATATTAACAGAATGATTTCAGTTACTGGAACATGCAAAAACAGCGCTGAAAAGCAAAAAACACGCCGACAAATAGATAGTCGAGCCGTGGTAAACACTCGAAGCGCCGCCGTAGGAAAATTGCAAAAAGCAAACAGGAACGCGATTAAGCGTGTAATAATCCGTAATTTGTCGTTCGATAACAATTCTCCAGTAAAAAGCTCTCTTTCTCTCTCTCTCTCTCTCTCTCTGTCGTGCTCACAAAAAGCCCTTTCCTCTCACTTGCCGGTGGCGTGAGTGTCGCTGGTCGGAACAAGTCTAATCCTCGCTCGTACATCACTTCTATATTTAAAGCTTTTAAGCTCGCGCGCTATCTCTCTTTGTCGTTCTCCTTCTTTCCCCGACGCATGCACCTACGAATCTCAATATCGTTTGTCAGCAGTCGCGATTGTTTTTACAGATTGTTCCCGATCGGCCACATTCACGAGAGTGACCTCACTTTTAATTGCCGAATAATTTACGATTCTTCGCGTTCCACTTTCCTACAGGCATGCACGCGACTGACTTTTTTCTTTTTTCGTTGATGCGAGTTCGATTTTCTTTTTTTCGATTTTTAGCTGTGTGCTTTAGTAGCGAGCCGCGGAATAATAATATTTTTAGGATTACTGTATAGGTAATTTGCCCGAGGATTATTGAATGAATGTTGTTGGTGTAACATTTAATGATAATTTTACCTTGTAACAAATTTAAAATGATAATGAATAAGTAAATTTTGAAGCTGCTGAAGAACACGTGCTTCTAAAAGCGTTTTTTCAATTCGGAGTATAAGGAATCGTCGCTTAACTTTCAATAACTTTAGATGTTTCCTTTGAATTAAAATTTAATAATTACGTCCACAATAGAAAATAGCTGGAGCGCTAGGTCACGGATGGATATCGCAAGCCGCGCATTGGGCTGTTGCTTGACAAATGATAGACTGGACAGCGCGTTACAATCGAAGGAAAAATGATGGCCTGTTTACGTGAAGCTTTTGCATCGGTCGTAAGCGGTCCGCAGCTCATAACCCGGATGGCCATCGTAAATCATGGATCGGCGTATGTGTGTGTGTGCGTGGGCGCGTGTGAAAATTGGAGAAAAACCGAGGCGGCAAATGAAACCGTCGTATCGATCGAGCAGCAAGCTCGTGAGAAGGAGCAGCAGATTGCGAAAATAGCAGGGATGATGAGGACATGCGTGGCGCGGCATGTGCTGGAGCGTTAATTCAAAGTAAACGATAAGCGATCGCGGAGTGACACTCGAGTCGAGTGGCCCCGCAAAAAAACAACATAATCCGCGCGTCGTCGAACACGAGTGGGCGCGCGCGCGCTGCGCCGAGCTGCGCTGAGCTGCGCCGACGCCGCGCCTTTATGAATCCTCCGTTTGGGGTGCGCGCGGACAAAGGGATGGCCGTTGTTTTATTTTGCGGCTCTCTCGCCACTCACCAAATATCTCCATTGTCGATCCGAGCTAATGGCGACACTCGAGCAAGCAGTACGCGCGCGCCGCTATGTGTGCTTGTTCGACGGACGATGGAGTCTTGAAAGGCGCTCGTTGCAACGGCGCGCCTATGAAAAGACGAGAGAGCCCATCTATCTTGCATTGTTCGCTGTATTCCGCGTGCCCGCGCGCACAGCCCAAGTTCACGTGATACCGCGAGCCCTGTGTACTTTTTCCTTGCGTCAATCCGATACGCGCTCTGCACGGATAAATCTCTTTTATCAGATTTTCGTTTTCCGTTTTTCCCATTAAACGTTTATTCATTCCCCGGAAATTCCCGATGTGTGTTATCAAGTTTAATCTTCCTACGCGCAAGAAAGCCCAACAAAATGCAATTAAGAATCGAGCCTCGCGTAGATTGGCTTCGAGGAACGTTCGTGTTTTCGCGTGGAATCGATAGCGAAAACATCATATGACGTGAAATTGAATTGGGAGCATGGTATAATTGCTTTTATCGAGTTTTATATAGATTTGCTATCTTGATTTAAAAACAAGCAGCTTCTTACTCGGAATCAATGTACTCGAGCTAGGACAAAGAGGATTGCGAGGCACAAACAGAAACGTTCGTAATTAGACGTTGAAAAGCTGAAAAAGCACAGTCGCGCGGCGACAGCGTGGACGAGACTGAATCTATCGACATTCAAAGAAGGCAACCCTTGCGCACCTCGGTAAAACACAGCGAAATCCTGCTGGCT